CGAGAGTTATTGTATCTGGTATCAGTATATCTTACTTTAATTTGAAAAAAATATAAACAAAATAAATAAATAAGAAACAGAAACAGAAATCAGTTTTAAGTGGCTGCCTACCTTCAATCACCTCACTGAGTCAAAATGCAATTGCAATCGCCGTTGCAGTTGCAGCTGAGCGATCCGATAAACGCAGAGACAGTCACCGAAGCGTGCCACACACAACCACTTGCAATGAGATCGCATTGCCCCCGCAATCAAATCTCCCCCTCTAACTGAGACTTTAAGCTGCGTACTTGCAGTTAAGTAAAAACTAATTTAAAGTCGAAAACTCAGTCATTATTCGCTTACCCACATAATAAATGATGTAAAGAGTAGGCGGACTCAGAAATTTAGAAATTTAGTATCCCAAATTATAAAACTAAAATGTTGCAAACCGGCTTATAATAATAATAATAATATTTCATATTAATTTACGATTATTTCTGTGAAAACAGCTCAGATGGCGAAATTTGAAATAGACTTTTGAAATACCTGAGTATTATTAGTATTTTCTACTATGAGTAATGAAATACTCTGGCATATTGGAAAATATTTTTCCGCCTAATACTCGAAGGATTTTGTTTAGCAAGAAACAATTTAAAGATATTAAAAACCAATTGGGTTATCGTGTAACAAACATATATTGCTGCTACATTGAAGAAAAATATGAGACAATAATCAGAATATACAATTTAAACGACCTTGAATAATGAACCCTAGTTATGGAATAAATATAAATATATCTGTGAGTATTTTGCATTATTTCAACTGCTAAAATTATAAATAGAATGAATTGCCATTTGTATGCCTCATAAATGTTAGAATTAGTTTTACTTTCCATTCATGAGTTGGCCTCTTTTTGACCATGTACGCCAAATATGCCCGCTGTACTTTCACAGCAAGGCTTTTAGAGGCAAATTAAAAGCATTTAGCCATGTCCAAGCCAACAAGTCAGCGACAAATTTACAGCAAACAACTGCAAACCCGAGACCCAACTGGCTGCCCCAAATCTACGTAGTTGTGGTTGCAGCCGCAGCAGCCGCAGTCGCAGCCTTTGGCCTGTCCACAGATGTTGTTGTCCAGCTTAAAGCTATAAAGACTGAGAGATCAGTTGGCGATTTGCCGACTACTGTGCGAAAAATCAGGGTGTGCACAACAGCAACAGCAACAACAACAACAACAACAGCAACAGCAAGACAGATGCATAAAATAAAAAATGTGTAGAAAAAATTGTGCAAATGGTCTCTCACTCAACTGTTTTGAACGTTAATTTACGCCAACTGTTTCGGCCATTGGACGCTGTCTGCTTTCAGTTTCATTATGACTTGAAACACGGCCCGAAAAATCATGCAATTGCAGTTGTTGTTGCAGTTATTGTTGTTGTTGTTTTTTTTTGTTGTTGTCAAGTTGCATGCAGATTGCAACATTCAGTTTTGTATCTTTCGGCTTGCCGCCGCTGCTGCTGTTGCTGCTGGTGCTGGTGCTGCGGTTAATCATATTTCTGTTGTTATTGTTGTAAATTAGCAGCTGCACACAACAAGCTGCTTTCAAAATTGTGTTTTTGCAGGATATATACAGCCATAAAAGATTTGCATATTGTGTTTTAGCGCTTAATAGTCATTGTCTTTTTTTTGTGCTTTGTCTAATTGACACTTTTGTGAGCTGTTTGCGATTATTTCTTTCATTTCCATTTCTGTAAGCTCAACATTAACATGAATTTTAACATGAGATCGCAATCGATTTCGCTTGCTTCATTATTAGAGTAATAAATTAAATATATATTTTTCATAAATACATATTATGATGACAACTAGTTGGTGATTTTTTTTTTTTTTTTTTTGCATTTGCATTTGCGTAAGTTTTCAAGTTGAGTTTATTAATAGCCAAAGCCAACAAAAAACTGTCATTGGCTAGAAAACAAAACAAAACAAAACAAAAACAAAGCCAAGCGACAAAGTGCAATGTCAATGGGGACTAAGTTCATTTTTGGAGCGCATTACACAACCTGGCCAAAAGCAAAGAGGAGAAAGAGGGGCAAGCGAAGGGGAGCGAAAAAGGGGGAGAGAGGTAGGGTAGAAGTAGCAGCAAATATGTGGTATAAGTAAAAAAAAAATAACAACGAAGGTGGCCGCGTGCTGCCCACAAATCAAGCAATGCGACGCGACGCCTAATTAAGTTTGTGGCAAACGTCATCGTCAGAATTGCTGTGCGACTCGTTGTGCCCAAAAGTTGCATTGAATAAGTGATTCTGTGCGCAATGATAGATTGCCATAATGATCGATTGGGAAATGCATATTAAGTGTGATATTTGTAGGCAGACGCCAGACGAAAAGCTTCAAATCGTTTTTATTTTGGCTGTTGAAGAAGCATTTATGAAAGACATGTGCAATATATAAAAAAACCCACTCATTAAATGATATACGAATTACATATATTCAAGCTGCAGCTGGGATGGCAGTTAAGCGGCAGCTGCAACAACTGGTCCATTGATTACATTGAAGCAGCTGATGAGGCGATTGTGTAATTAGCTACAGGGCAAAAGAGTGGGCGACTTATACAGATAGAGAAAGAGGGGGAGACAGAGACAGAGAGAGAAATTCAATTCATTATGTATAATAATTCATTATAATTTCTTGATTTTTGTAAGCTGATTATACAGCCGAAGAAATTGGATGTAATTAAAAATAATTAAGCCGTCTGACTGAAGAAGGAGTCATCAAGCATTGAGGAAGTTAAGCCAGTACAGTGATCATTCCACAATGTGAAAATATAGAGAGAAAAACTTATAGAGAATTTTATTTGTTTAATTTGTTTAACATGAGCTTTAAGAAAAAATACCTTAAAGTACTCTTGACAGATGTATAAACAAAACTTACTCAATTTCAGGCTTTAAGTTACAATGCAATGAAATTAGTAATTTTCAAAGCTGGCAATTATCAAGCAAAAACTGTATTTAATTCTAGCAAAAAGTGCCCCTAGCTTTATTCATTTTGCACTTGTCTCAAGCGATCAATATGCTGCTCCTCTGTCTAGACTTGAGACTGTCTAGCAATGCCATCATCTCAAGCAAATGCTGTCAAGGTGTTAACACTTGATTATGAACAGAGAAATAAGTTGGCTAATAACAATAGCAGCGGTGCTGCTCAACTCAAGAATCAGTTGGCAAAAGTGTAAGTTGTGACTAAACAGAGAGAGAGAGAAAGAGAGAAAAATAAGAAAAATAGAGAGGCATATAAATAATGACTTGAAAATTGTTGAGTAAATGCCAATGATTAAAATTTAATTACAGCTTTTTAAGCGTTGAGATTTCACTTTTTCATCAATTTGTTTTTTTTTTTTTCTTCATTTGTTTCCTTCTAGACGGCTACACTTGACCCAGTTTGTGCGACAAGTGGCAAAAAGAACTGAGAGTTCATAATTAGAAAACGAATATTATTTCGTTTTCAGTTCAGTTTTAGCTGTCTAGTTACTCATCAGTATACGCCCTCATGCGTGCGTGTATCTGACGGATACGCGCAGCCGACCAAGACCCAATTCTCAATGACAAAAGGAAAAATTGTTATCAACTTGAACGGGCATATTGAGTGTCACTTTTACAGTTGTCGTCGCGTCGTTTCCAATTACCATAGTATTATAATATAGACACAAAGGTCTTGGCAACAATTAAAATTTGTATGAGTAAATAGTTCCTTCACATGAGCGAAACGACCTTACAACACACGCAACAACTTTGGACACTCCACAAGCCGCACAACACCACGCCAATTCGCAACACACACACACACACACAAAAACCACACCACACCACTCCGCCCACCAGTGCCCACCCGGCTTTGTGTGACAAGTGCCTCGATTGCCAAAAAACCACCCACGGAACTGGAAAACTTTCGAAGGTCTGGCAAAATTTTATTATTTTTTGCTTGACAGCTGTCGGCGACAAACCCAAAACAAGAAGATGATTTCACTTTTGAGCTGCCGAACATTAAATACCCTATTAATCAAATATTATCTATTTTTCACTGCTTTTTTTTATACTATAATAAATAAAATAAATCTTATTTACTTATTATTACTTTGCTTTTACTCTAAAGATAGTTTCATAATGAAATACTCAAATTTGGCTCTAACAATAACAGTTACTAAGAATTAATTATTATCGAGCATAAATTCGATTTCAATAAACTGGCATATAAAAATAAACATTATTTACTCTTTATTACTGTGCCGTTGCTATCAATATAATTCGAAAAGTAAACTGTATGTTATCAGAAAAGTCTGCCGCATGATTTATGACAAACTAGGGTATAAAGACACACTTGTATACCATATCATATCATACCATATCATATCATCAAAATCTCATTGCTGCATTTTGGGGTTTTACACGCTGAGGGGGAGTCTCTCCCAACGTAGGCGTTACCAGAACACTGTCTACATCATTTAGCTGAAAGACAGTTGAAATCTGCTGTGACTTGTGCCTTTTATGTTACATTTAAATAGTGCCAACTATAATGTCAAGTTGGTTTCGCTTAATTAAATAATTATTAGTTTTTGTATTATTATGTGTGTGTGAGTGAATGTCACACGCCTAATCAATTTCAATTGAAGGTGTCACATCTCACTCTGTGTGGCAAAGTGCTCTGCTGAAGGCCTGTCGAGGCCTATGAGAATAACACTTACACACTTACACACACACATACAGGCACACACGCACAACAACAGCTGATGTAGGCGAAATAATTGCGCTCCAACAGTTAAGAGTTAAGGTCATGTGAAAGATGCTTGGCAACAGCAAGCGGAAAAGCAGAATATCAAATTAATTCTCATATGTGTGAAACATATAAAATATTAGCTAATTGCTAACTAGTTTTTACTACTACTACGAGCTAAAATCTTAATCTTCTCTGTTCTGAAAAGCTTACCCACATATTCCAGTTTTAAAGCGTAATAAATCGTTTTTGACTCACCGAAACTGCAAATAGAAAGAAAGAAAACAAGTAAAGTCTTTGAGTTCAGTCATTTAATTATCAAGAAATGTTGAATTGCAAAAGGAAATGCCAACCAAATCGATGTTCATTATAAAAAGATAACGATTTACCTGAAAATACGTCAGAATAATAAATGTATAAATGTAATACAAAAACTCAGCAGCATGTCAAAATAAACGCTTGAAGCCCCGCTCGGAGAGTAATGATGTTACCAATGCAATTAAACATAATTAGCTGTAGAAACTTGTTTGGGTCGCTTAATCAAACGACGTTTTGTTTGCGTGTGCCGCTTATCTAGATTCGAAATTCAAGTTTCTGGTTTTCAATATATGTGCGTTTAACTAATTACGACAAGCTATCGTAAACTTTGTCAAGCCATGCAAAAGATAAGCGCAACTACAAAACTGATAAGCAAACGACCTCGTCCAGAGTATCGAATTGAAACTAATGATGAACACAACTATCAAATGGAAAATCTCAAAGCAAAAGTGCGCTTCCTAAACACATTTTCAATGTAGCAATATAACAGCTGATTGCTTAGGCTAGATCAAGAAACCTTATAGCAATCAATATGTATGCATATTCATAGTACTATTTTGTATAGCCTAAACAATCGTTGCGAGAATTGTGACGCACAATACGATTCTCTATTTGCTAAATAGAAGCATAATATTATATATTCATATACTCACACCTCACACACGTCTATTCAGACGCTCAGGCAATTCATTCTGAATACTGAATCTTATTATTATTATCATTTTTGTTGTTATTTTAGCTTACTACCAACACCTGGGCCTTTGAACAATTTGCGTATCAATGAGTTTTGGGTTTCCGCCAGCCAGCCTCTTTCTCTCTGGCTTACACCTGTTTTGTGCGAAACAAGATTGCAAGATTCATCCGACGCTTCATTGGAATCATATATTTGTCATCGCATATATAATATTTCTGCGGAAGTTACGGCTCGTACTCTCACATGCCAAGGTCTCGTTTTGGGGGTCTCCCTTGATAAAAAAAACCTAGCATTTTCTGTGTCATTGCGAATTTTACTGTTTTGTTTTTATTGATAAACTTAATGGCGAACCGAACCAACAAATTGTTGGCGGCAATGACGTCGGCTTTAGCATTCTCAAAATGATAACGCTAACAATGATATAGAGTCTATCTAAAACATTTATTTGTGCTACGGTCTTTTGTGCTATAATAAAATATAATATATTGAAGAACTTTGATACCCGAGTTCAGTTGATAACACTAGTTTGACTCATAGTACTACTGATAATCATATTGTAGTAAATCCGTTTACTCAAGTGCTGTGTGAATTTCACGTATACGGATTTGAGATTTAGGATGAATTGCAAATAATAATGGCATTGACCTAGCCTTAATTACTTAGCGTGTGTATTTAATTTGAAATTTTAAACATTTGTTTGCTTTGCTTTTTATTCTTATCGGTTTATGGAGCAACCTTATCAATTTTTTAATATTTTTTTTACTTTTTTATTTTGTTTTGGTTTAGCCTCGACCTCAAGTAGTTTTGTTCGGACTTTATAGTTGTGACCACAATTCATGGGCAACATTTATTTGGCCACTTCTTGAGGGGTTACTTGCTCGTCTAACGGTACTCTTGATGGTCCAAAAAATTGGAGAAGAAGCAGAAAAACGCACTCATCTCCAGCTCAAGCTGAACAAAACAAAAAAAAAAACTACAAAACAAATACTTATGGTAATAACATATTAAGCAAGTCCGTTAGGAAACGGAGCAGTCGAGGGGCTCAGCAAGTGGGTTACCTTTTAGCTTCTTTTCCATATGACACTTCAGCGGTACCATAAAGAGTAAAACAAAAATATATACATATATATATATATGTATTTAATAAAACCAAAGTACACCTGAGGGCATACGAATTGTGTCACTGTGAGTGCTTTATGCGTGTGCAAAATCAACAACAGCAACAGCAACGGCGGAATTTCATTAGAATTTCTAAACAGGCCAGAAAAATTTCATTTCGTGTATTTGCATAAGTTGATAAGTTCCACAGAAGGCAGACAATCGGAGAGTGCAAAAGGGGCAGAGAGACGACAGCAGCTTTGCTATGCATATTTTTCTTGTAAATATTCAATTTACGATGCAGCACTTTAAGAGCACTGCATAAATAAATACACATTATTCTCGAGAAAACAGAAATAAAATATGATATTTTATACAGCTGCAAGTCTGACAAGCAGACTTTGTTTAGCAACAGCTGGACAAGATTATTCTATAGTGACTAATTTTAAATAAAATAAAGACATCACAGAAGTCCATATTCAAGAAAGCTGGACTATGAGATGCCCATAGTCTTTATTTATCATAAGTTTTTGATATTGAAAAAAAATGATTTGAAAGAAATTCGTTTAGTTAATCAATATTATGTCAAGAAATATACAAACCCAATTAAAGGGATATATCTTTAAAATTATGGCTTCTATTGCTATCGGAATTTGTATCGATATTGGAGAAGCTATCGATTACATAAGATGAGATGCTAAATGAGAGCTCACATTTTAAATTTGAAGTCTCTAGCTCTTAGAATCCCTAAAAGCCTACTCACGCAGACCGATGTGCTGATCAAGAATATATATATATTTTATGGGCTTGTAGACACTTTCTACTACTGTCTGTTACCACTTTATTATACCCAATTTTTCTCGTTTTTAATGGCACGTCTTAAAGTAAAATTTCATAGTGACGATCCTGGTTGTCATCAAAAATTTTGATTCCATTAATGCCACTAACAGCATTTCATCTTAAAAATTTGATGGCTGCAACAACTTCAGTTGCATAGCAAATCGTGTTGAAAGCATACAGCAGCCAACTGAAATGGAAAGCTTAACGAAATCAAGATGGGAACACGTGCTGCAAATTGATTACAACAAATGAGCAAAAAATAAATACAAAAACAAAATTTACAAAGATTATTAACAATTCTCTTAAGTCGAACAACGAACAATGTGTTGATTAGTCGAACGAGGGGGGCCAAAAAAAAAAACAACAAATGCAAAAAAATCGAATTGGCAAAAAAAAAGTATCTGTTAGATACGGGAAATTTCACTGGCAGCTGAACGTTAGAAACTGAGATAGATTTCTTAGGTTTTGGTCTGTGTGTGCATGACTGATTAAAATCTTCAATAACCTCAGAGTCTACTACCCCTTCGAATCCCCCTTGGCTGCTCATTAGTGAATGACATTGGCAACGATATCGATGCTTTTGTTGTTGTTTGTTCTTTTCTCTCTTCTTTCCTCATATATTTTATTTGATTTTTTATTATTCTTTCTTTTTTTTTTTCTTTGCGCAAAAGTTTCACCTGCTGCCGGTTCTACGACTGCGTCTTTTATTGATTGTTCTTTAGATGCGTTGACTTTGAAAAAAGCAAAAATGCCTAGAAGCAAAATTAGAAATCCATTTATGCCCAAGAAAAGCGTAAAATTCATTTTCACGGCAAAAACTTGTTGAAAAAAGTGTTGCCAAGCAAAAAGATCTAAGCTAAATATTTGTACACATAATCATAGTAAAATAGAAAACTAAACAGAGCTCTTATCAACTGTGTACATATTTATATTTATTCAAATAGGTAATTCTAATCTGCCGCAAGTGGCGCTATAAAAATTTTTGTTTATAAACAAAAAAAAAAAAGTAGAAATACTAAAAAGATTGGGAATGGGAACAGATTATAGAGCTAAGCTAAATTAAACGTAATTACTCACTATATTTCAGATTATTTGTTTTAAAAGTCATTGTACCCCACCCCGAACACTGTTTAAAAAAAATCATTGATATAGTGCTGAAAATCATCTGAGTTGGCTGATAAGATTTATGACTTTGAAAGGCGCAAGGTGAGTCCAGGGGGGGTCTAATTAAACTTTGAAAATCGCCAATCTTCAATGAGAGGGGTGTGCTTGGAATGTACATTAAAATATCAAAATTGTACACTTAAGGAAATATGTGTGGTTGACTTTAAATAATATAAGGTTCTATTTGCTAATTGTTTCATTTTTTGTTTCTTTTTTTGTTACTAATATATAAATAAATGCTTACTAGGAAGGAATATATGTGCATGACTTTAAATAATAATAAGGTTCTATTTGCTCATTTTATTTTTCGTTTCTTTTTTAGTATTTTTAGTATTGTTTCATACAATTATTTTTGCACAAGTTTTGAATTAAGATACGCAGAGTGACAGAGCAGATAGTTTTTTATACAGAAGTTTGTATTTTAGATTTCTTCTTTTTTCTAGCTTTAAGGATAACTTTGTCTAGTGCATCTCCCTTAGCCTATTTTTACACAAGTTGCATGTAATTAAAATATATAACCGCCTTTAATTCGTAATTTTAATGAATACAAAATGCATCTCTTTGAATTTCCGTCTCAGAACTTCAATTGAAAAGGACTTGAAAACATATACAAGTCCCATATACATATGTATGTGTATTTTGCGCCCACTCACTCACACACACACTCGCAGACACATGCAACTCTTTTTTTTTTTGAGATGCTGCACAACTCTCCCAATTATATGCACTCTTTCTTAAAACTCTACCAAACTCTTCCCCATCTCCCGCTCGAAAGCTCTCTCTCTCTCTCTCTCTCTCTCTCACACACTCTCTACCTTACTCTCATCAACGTGTGACAAAAACTTTATTTCGAGCAGCATACGAAAATAAAAAAAGTTATTCGCATTTTGTTTTTGTGGTGGATGCAGGCAGACAAAAGGTTTCAATTCTCATCTGTGTGTGTGTATGTTTGTGAGTGTTTGCGTGTGTTTGCGTGTGTTTGTAGACCTTTCGTTGGTCAGAAATTTCATCAACTCCCACAAAATAAATGAGAGTTTCTGTTTCTTGTTCATCATCGATGAGTACCTTTTATAATATTTTTTGCTGTTTGTTGCTGCTTCAATTTCGTTTTGAAATCGCTCAAGAAACACTTTTAATTGATGTTAAACTGTTAAGCACTTTAGTAGTAATATTAAATATTTATATACTTCTATTAAAATAGATTTTTTTGCGATTATATTTTTTGAAATTACGTTTTATTACTGCTTCTTTTTAGCGTTTCATTCAAAAAATTTTGTGCGCGTCGTCGCGTTGTATTTGTTTTACCGTTTTAATTTCGTCAACAAAATTTCACTTTCAATTTTTTACAGATTTTGTGTTAACTATTTGAATTGAATTTATTGCCGCCTCTTGTTGCACCGACTCCGATATCGAATAGAACCCAAAAACACCAGCGCCTGCAGTTCTTGAGATGCTGCTGCTGCTGCTGCCGCTTCTCTCACAATTGAAATCAACAATGCGCCAACGAACGCGAGTACAAAACAAATAATAAAAACCTTTGGACAACTTGAAAGCGAATTTCAACTTTCCGCTCCACACAACCGCACAGCGCGAAAATATTTTCTGAACTGAAATCCAATAAGAGTCTGCTAACAGCAGTCAGCAGTCAGCTAGCAGCGCACCAGCGACAGCAGCTGCAAGCGACGGACAAAGGCAAAGAAAACAAGTAAGTACGAATTGCCAACAACATACCCGCTCTGAAAATACCCTGTAATTTTTGTTGTGGTGCATATATCTTAAGCTGGCTCTGAATAGAGGTCCACTTAATATTGAAATACGTTTAATATTAATAGCCAACGGCATTTATTTCATGAAATGCATCTCTAAACAAATGAATAAATACTCCCCGTTATGAATATATTACAGGGCATAAGCAGAAGGCAAACGCACGGCAACAACAATGTAAAAAACAACAACCATTATACCACTGCAAACACAACGAGGAACCCAGAGAGCCATAAATAGAGAGCAAGAGAGAGAGAGAGAGAGAGCGCACGCGAGAGTAAAAAAAGCATAAACGCAGCAGCAGCAACTACGCAAAGAAAATCAAAAAGTAAACAGCACAACATAATTGAATGAGAGAGATAAGGCACACAAACTCAGAGGGAGTGAATGAGAGAGCAATTTTGGGAGAGTGGCATTTGAAAGCAAAGGTTTGCGTGTGGGTGAGCCTTGTGTGTGTGTGTTTTGAGCGTGCCTTTTGTTGTGGGTTTTTGTGACGACATTCGTGGAGAGAATACCATGAAAAACATGTGTGAAATGTAAATGTTGAAAGATAATATTTAAGTTAGACTTTTAATCAAATTTCCACCCTCAAGTTTACATATACATATATGTTGTTGTAAAACAAACCATAACACAAAAAGCCCCCATTAAATATAGATTACAAACTGCATACAGATCGATCATGTTGCATGCAACAGCTACTATTTAAGGTTGAAACAACCCCCGTTTGCAGTAATGACATCACATTAACAGCGAGACACTTGAAATAATGATGCCCGCATATGACCGATGGCTATCGAAATTGCTTTGTTATGAGTAGTTATTTTTTTCCTTTTATTGGCCTTCATGCGAAAACTTGAATTTCAACCCCGTCAAGTGATGATAAATAATTGTTGGGCTGATCACGACTCGAAAGGAAATCAAATCCAATTGACAGTCTGGCAACGCTCTAAGTGCCAGTTCAAGCAAAAGTCACACAGCAAATGCAAAAATTTCTACTGCGCCGCTCTCTTTTGTTATTGTTCTGTCTCTGTCTTCGCTGGAGAGCGCGTGCAAAGCAAACGCAGCACGCAAAGGCAATATTTGCAAAGTCAAACGTGCTCTCTCTCTCTCTTTCTCTCTCTCTCTATTGCTGTCGCTCTCCAGCTGTTAACAGCGCCGCATGTGGTGGTCGCAACTTAACAGTGTCGCTTAACATTTCATGTTAGAAATGAGATTAGTTCAGATTTTTAAAGCCTACAAAAATTTAATGAAGAATTGTAATATACGAGTATTAATTACACAATAATTAGATTAAATCAAATGAATAGAGGAAGTAATTATGCAACTTTACATTACGGACTCTTATCAATCTCAACAACAAACTTGTTTATTCCAATTACAGCATACGGAACAGCTGTTGTCAACAACGTCCGCCGATCCCCAGAAAGAAACAAGAAAGAAAGAAAGAAAGAAGCGAACGCAATAATAACTCAAACTGGAAATCCAGTAAACAAAAACCAAAACAAGCTCAAGAAAACAACAAATTACAAAAAGGGGCACACAAAGACCAAGACCAAGTGGCAAATGGGAAATGCTGGGGATGTGTTTTGAATAATTATCAGACGATATTGGTGTCAACACATCGAATATATAATTAGATATGGATTTGTGCCAACATATAAGAATACATATTTAAAATCTGAATGAATCTCGATAAGAAACATTTTTTATTATAGTTAAGATAACAGTAGCTTATTAAATATATATATTGATATTGATTTGAGTAAGCACAACCGATAAACAAATAAATAAATAAACAATATTTATATTTTATATTTTTACTTTGAGAGCTAAAATTGTGCTAATAAATCAGAGCAATATTAGGATATTTAGCTGAAAAAACAATATTTGAATGTGAATTTGCTGGGCTCTAAACTTTATTTAGTCAGAGTTTAACATTATTTTACAACTATCTAATTTTTTATTTTATTTTTTGAATGTATTACAATAAATATAATATAATTTCGTTAATTTATAAGTAGTTAGGAAGGTCATTCTAGCTTCATGTGTCAAGGGAATTTATTTAAGAAAAATTGTCTTTATTATGGAATTGGGGCCGTAAAAGAACACTGTAATTAAAGAAATAATAATATCTCGAAATGCGTTATGAAATGTGTTTTTATGAGTAAATATAAACTGTACAAAAATAATTATTGAACTTCTTAATCTTTATTAGCAATAACAGCAGAATATCCTTTCGCTATTAATTCTTTAATTAGCCGAATCCTTTCTTGGGAATCCAGATCCTTGATTCCTCTGTTCTCTTGTTGTTGTTCTCTTTGGGCCCTGATTTTGGAACATCACTCCAAGGAATATTATTGGGGCTAAGCATGCCATTCCATGAGGATAAGTGAATAGTCCTTAAGCCATTAGATAAGAGGAATTTCAAGCAAATTCCATCATCTTTTGCACGGCATTTGAAGACAATGTTTTTGTTGCAACACACAAAACATTAACGTTGACATTTTTCAAGCTCTGAATAAATAATAGTGCCTTCAAGTATTTCACTTAACATCAACTGCTGAGATTATAAATACACTGTTTATGACCGCAATTAATTATACTGTCTACTTAAAACAAGAAGAAATCGTCTTCATCTTGGCCACGTAGAAAATTAAATACCCTTGTAGACCGAAATCACGACCTAATTATAATAACCAACAATTTAGTTATTTTTGAATTTCTACGTATTCCTAAATGATCTTTGATGATCTTTGAATGTGATGATTTAAGTTCCTTATTATTTTATTTATCTAATGTAAACACTAATTGAATCTTCTATTTTGATTGAGTATCGATTTGACTTAGATTTGAGTTTGTGTAATTTGCATAAGTTGTGTCATCAAAGTGTGGTTTCCATGGAGTTGTAAAACGAGTTATGTACACGTATTTTCAATTTCCTTTTAGAAAGCTCCCCCATTTTTGGCTCATAGTACACCCGGTTACACCTTCGCACACCCACATGACTGCATGGCTCACCTCAAGTCCCACCCAGACAACAACTTTTGTGTCTCTCACACGCATTTTGAATGATAATTTCTTTTTTATTTCTTTCATTTTGGAATGGCACAAGCACTACGAGTACGAGTACGAGCAGAAGAGTAACAAGTTCTATCACGACAGGCAAGGCAGCCCACATATGTACATGGTTGGTAATATGTGTTTAAGTAAGTATAGGCTGAGCAGTTGGCACTTCTTCGCATAGATTTTAGTACTATGCGTATGACAGGAAGAAATCCATCAACTCGACGGAGGCACAATGAACAAAAACATGGAATAAAAGCTGCATTTAACACTCGCTTTCTTCGCCAGTCATCTGCCGGGACCCCCACCTATCCCCCCGCTGTCCAAGTATTACATTAGTTTGGCCCCCAACACCCTTTGCCACCAGTTGCTGCCGCAGGGCCAAACATTTTACACTGTCACGGGAAATTGTTTGCTTAACATGCGCGCTGCGTTTAAAATTACATGATGAGCAGCATTTATCAAAAAAAACAACAAAAAAACTAAATAAAGAAAAAACCAAAAGCAAAAAAAATCCAAAACATAAAGTAATCAAAACACTGCAGTTAAAACATAAGGCAAGAAATACTGAAGAAAAACAACAAGCCAAACAGAGCTCGACTGGAAGATACCCTCAAATTTTGGTTTCTCAACCGAACTTGTTGAATTGTGTACAGTTAACTATTAATGTCAAGGTAAATAGATAAAAACCGTTTGGAAAGCTGTCTCATTGAAATTTGTGGCTTACTGATTACTTTATATAATCGATTCTTATCGATAAATTGATACATATCCAAATTTGAAGTCTTAGGTTGGTGCAAACGGACGGAAATGGCTGAATCGATTCTGTTTTTTATGCTGATCAAGATTATATATGCCCTTCAGCCTGTTATGGCCTTTTTAGCTATTTGGAATGTGTTCAGGGCGTAGAAACAAATCATTGCAGAACCATTGTCAGAGGTCTAGTCTGGAGTCTTCTGATGTGGTCTTCTGCTTCTTCTCGATTGTCTTCTGGTCCTACGCAATTTTTTTTCTCTCTCTTCTTCATCTTTGATTATTATGAAGTATATTTAGCTGGTTGTCTGGGGTCGTCGACGGGGTCTTCATTCAATCGCCGCCAATTTCTGCTCGGTCTCTCTCACTCTCACTCTCTCTGTCTCTCTCTCTCTCTCTCTCTCTCTCTCTCTCGTTCAGTCTTACACAGACTGTCTCCTTAACGATTATTGGCGTTGACTTCTTGCCTCCGTCTACTGACCTATGCTGATTTCTTGGAAAGAACTTGTGATATTTGTTGTCTCTGTGTCTGACCATTTAATCAGGCTGCAAGAATTGTGGCAAGTCATTTGGCTACCGTTTCTGCTGATCA